TATATATATTAAATTAGAACAGAAATATCGAAAATATTAATAACATCAGATATGCCGATGACACAGTTTTAATAGCAGACTCAAAAAAGGACTTTCAATCGCTTATAGATACTGTTGTAACGAAAAGTGAACTTAAAGGATTGTTGTTTAATGTACAGAAAAACAGAATGCATGGTAATATCCAAGAAAGCAACAAATCCCATTTGTAATATCATTAGCAAAGGCGAAATGAGCTAATGTGTCCAACAGTTTAAATATCTGGGATATATAATAAGATCTGATACCACGTGTTACACAGAAACAAAACGGAGAATTGCAATGGCTAAGGCTAGTTTCAGTACACTGACCCCAATCCTAAAAAGTAGAAACACCTCAATGAACACCAAAATGAAAGTTTTGAAATGCTGTGTATGGTCAACCCTTCTACATGTATGTGAATGCTGGACAATCACTAAAGACAGTGAAAATAAAATAGAAGCAATAGAATATGGTTTCTAGGAGACTGCTGAGATGAATATCGTGGAAGGAAAATAAATCAAATTAGGTAGTACTTGATGAAGCCCACGCGGGACGCTCACTGTTAAAAACAATCAGGAAACAACACATGCACTTTTTGGGACACCTGAATAGACATAACGGTCTTGAACATCTAGCTCTCACTGGCAGAATTGAAGGCAAGTGAGGCAGGGCTGGGCCCTGAGCAACCTACTTAGGGAACCTAACCTAAACAAATGGGTAACAGAGACAGATAATGGAAACGTAGCTTTTTTTTGAGCATCCAAACAAAGGACTGAATGGAGAACCATGATCACCGATGTCTGCCGCAGATCTAATAAGTTATTATAATATATACATGTATTCACAGATGATGGATGATGACGATGATACACAAATACTACGAAGTCCTTTCTTGTCACTGACTCGCCTCCTATTTCCTCCCTCAGGTATGGAACTGGTTGGTCCTTCCAAACGCAAGTATGCAGGTATCGTCATCGAGATATTTTGGTGTATCGGCATTTTTCTGCACACTGGTCTGGCATTCGGAATAAGAGAATGGCGATATCTTCAGGTGGCCATCTCTGCGGGTTCTGTGCTGCTGTTCAGCTACTGGTGGTGAGCGTTTGTGTCATTGTGGTCTGGCCCTAGGTGTTCTGAAAGAGACTGAGACGAGCCTGAATTTTGTTTGACAGTATTTAGATACCTTAAGGTGTCTGTTGTAGGCAAGGGATGAGAGAGAGAGAGAGAGAGAGAGAGAGAGAGAGAGAGAGAGAATGAGTGAGAGAGAGGGGAGAGGGATCAGAGAGGGAGGGATGGAGAGTAAGTCAGTCGTCCGACAGACAGACGGACAGACACACAGACAGACAGACAGAAAGACAGGGAGAGTATGTGTGTGAGAGAGAGAAGAAGAGAGAGTGGGAGAAATAGGGAGACGGGTAGAGATAGACACACACAGAGAGAGAGAGAGAGTGTGTGTGTGTGTGTGTGAGTGTGTGTGTGTGTGTGTGTGTGTGTGTGTGTGTGTGTGTGTGTGTGTGACATTTCAGTGACTTATAATTAAATGGAACCTAATTTTCTTCTCAAACATAAACATAATATTATGTACCTGTGTTTAGTTAAATCTTTATCATCAGCCTAGTGTATCTTTTTCTACTTTATGGGGATATTTACAGTAATGTCTCCACCCCCCCCCCCCCTTTTTTCTCCTTTATTTCGATGCTTTTAGGCTTGTCCCCGAATCCCCCCGCTGGCTCATCAACAAAGGGCGTTTGGAGGAAGCTTCAGATGTGATCAAAAAAGCTGCAAAGGTTAACAAAGTCACACTATCAGAAAAGGTGTCCAGTCTACAAGAAATCGAATTGGACGGCCAAGGGGAGAAAATTTGGCACATGTTCACAACGCCAACTCTGATAATTCGATCTGGAATTATTTTTTTTAACTGGTGAGATAAACAGTTGAAGAAAAAAATATCTGCAATGTTTGAAAAACATTAATTTGGGAAATAGGAAGGTAACTATTGCTTAATAGTCAAAAACAGTGACTGCAGATAATACAACTGAACAAAATCAACTCTGGAAGTTCAAGGGAGAGAATGATATAATATAATATTGTACGCAACGTGTGCAAGGGAAGTAAAGAAGTAAATGGATAAAGGCAACAAGATATTTGGAGAGAAAGCTCCACAAGGAACGGAATTCCAGTTATGTTAACAGGAAAATTGGAGACAGCTGTATTATAATCTAGATGTACTGTATTCCTCTGCAGGTTTTTAAACACTTGAGCACGGACAACTCAAGACACAGACAAATATATTAGTAGAATTTGAGAAAGTACAAATCGTCGGCAAACTGTTAAAACATACTAAGCGTAGAAAGTTAAAATTTACAGGAGAGAGAAAAAAACTGTTTCATTCTTTAAGCAAATTGTGCCTACATTATGTTTTTATTATTCTTTCTTTTTCAACATTTAGGATTTCGACCAAATATTTTTTGAGCACATGTAACTTGTACCTCGGGTTTACAAACAGCGATAAAAATATTCAATTGTGCCTTTTTACAGCTGGCCAACGAAGTACAACATCCCTTTTTGGCTGTGTTCATTCACTTATTTTACAACCATTATGTGGGTCTTGTCCGTCCTATAGCTAGTTGTTGAGTGTATTCTTATGTTGCTTCGGGTGTTGTTATTGCTGTTGCTGTTAATTAATTATTTATGTTCTTCGTGATGTTGTTGATGCTAATGCTTTTGCTATCGTTCCTGTGGTAACTGCTGCTGTCGATTGTGGTTTGTTTCTGTTGTTGTTGTATTCCTTTTTGTGGTTTTTTTGTACATACTATTGTTGTAGTTATTGTTGTTGATGATGATGATGATGATGATGATGATGATGATGATGATGATGATGATGATGATGAAGATGATGATGATGATGATGATGATGATAACGATGCTGTTGTTATCAATCCAGCCTGTTCATCACATAATGCCCTCAACCCCCCAGGTTAGTCGCCAGCATGACGTACTATGGACTTAGTCTCAACGTGGGGTCTCTGTCTGGCGACATTTTCGTAAACAATGCACTCTCTGCCACAGTGGAATTGTCGTCTTACATATTTTGTATCCTCGCTTTGGATGTGGTTGGCCGTAAGCGTTTACAGATTTTCTCTAACCTGCTGGGAGGTGTCGCTTGTGTATGCACCATGTTCCCCGTCATCTTTGGAGGACCAAGTAGGTGATCTTTGTTTTATTTGTTTTGTGGCTTCAGCGGTTATTACTTTTTGTGTGCGTATTCGTTTCTCTCTCTCTCTCTCTCTCTCTCTCTCTCTCTCTCTCTCTCTCTCTCTCTCTCTCTCTCTCTCTCTCTCTCTCTCTCTCACACACACACACACACACACACACACACACACATACACACACTCTCTCTCTCTCTCTCTCTCTCTCTCTCTCTCTCTCTCTCTCTCTGTGCGTGTGTGTGCGTGTGTGTGTGTGTATGTGCATGTGTGTTCGTATGAATGTATGAGTGTGAGCACCTACATAATATTATGTGCCTAAACCATGTTTGTGTGCCTTCGAGAATTCGAGGGAAATACATAATATTATGTGCCTAAACCATGTTTGTGTGCCTTCGAGAATTCGAGGGAAATCGCATGTTTGGGGGATGTTGTTTTTGTTGTTGTTTTGGTTTGGTTTGCTTTTTTTTTGGGGGGGGAGGGTGTTATTTTCTTTTGGGGCGTTGGGGAATGAGGGGGGGGGGTTATGGTTTATTTTTTATTCATTTTTTTAAATAAATGTTTTGGATATTGAGCATTTTATAGTTGTTACCCCCAGGCAATCAACAGAACGTTTCGTTCTGTTGATTTTGGACTCTCTAGTGAAAAAAAAGTGTCACTCTCAGGAGTTTTTGTTCTGATTTATTTTCTAACACTGTTCATTAACAACGACGATGAAAGGTAGTGGTAGCTTGTCATCATGAAAAAGCTCAAGATGCAATAATTACATATTATTGTTTGTTTTTCATATCTCCAAACTTCTCATCAGCACAACATTACTTTTTAATAATCTAAAAGCCACCAAGCTAAACATTTGTCTCTCTCAATACTTATTTCCCAGAGTGGATCAACGTGGTTTTGGCCTTGGTAGGAAGGTTTGGGGCGTCAGCGGCATTCGCCGTAATCTACATCTACTCCGCGGAGCTGTTCCCAACTGTCATGCGTAACTCTGGCATGGGGGTCAGTTCAGTCTGCGCCAGGATAGGTGGGATTTTGGCGCCCTTTGTCGGAGACCTGGTATGTTCAGCATTATATTATTGTCGGCCAGTGGTAAACATTTGCAAAGCCCAAAACTTTGCATTTTTAAAATAAAAATTGCGTTTCTTAATCTGAGATATTTGTTGCATGTTCTCAAGAAATGTTTTGTCAAAATTCAAATTCTAAAATTAATGTTGAAAAAAAAAGAAAAAAATACCCAGTTTAGATACAACTGTAGAAAGGGTTTTAATTATTCTCTTACATGAAAAATGTTGCTTTTTGAGCTAAGTACATTTTAACAGTTTGCCAACGATATGGATTTCTTATGTTCCGTCCGTATACATTGTGTATAGGAGGAATGCGCGGACAGGCCAAAAGAAGACTTGAGAGCAAACATTTTGGCATAAATCATACTGTTATGTTCGTTGGATCAGACACACCTACTCATTTCATTGCAAGCACCATCACCTTTGTCAAAGGAATTTTCATTAAAAACCACTCTTCAAGACAAAACAAATCAAACGGTTGAGAAACTGATAGTCAGTGGTAAGACAATCCCTTAAACACATAATGTTAACAAACTCAAACTCGCGTGAATGATAATTCAGTTATGTCGATAGATACTCGTAGCATCACTGAGCGTAAACAAACCTTATGTTAGACATGCACTGTAAACAGATTCCGAAATAATAGAACGACAAGCCTATTGGGAGGTAAATACTCATGTTAATTCTAATTTCATGACCCTTGAAAAGATAGTATAATAGCAAAACAATATTATTGTATACGACGTCTTGAATATAAGACTGCTTTTTCTCTTCCAGAAAAAGGGACTTCAATTATTTCTCAGTTGTCGTCTTCAACTGTTTTGCGCCATTCTGAAAGTTTTCAATAACGCGTATCCGTCTGTGTGGTTATTGTTGGGTTTTTGTTAACTTGTTCAGGTAATAGTAAACATATTGTTGTATCTCTCACCAATCAAAGCAACACCGGTGCATGTTCTGCTGTGATATGTGGTTGTACTTGCAGTACAAACACCACAGACAGGGTTATTTTTTTCAGTCTTTCTATCCGCTGCGTCTTCTCCTAAAGCGTAGGTTGCAGGCTTGATAAGGTTATCAAAAAGCGTTGAAATGAAGAAGAAGAAGAAGAAGAAGAAGAAGAAGAAGAAGAAGAAGAAGAAGAAGAAAAAGAAGAAGAAGAAGAAAAAGAAGAAGAAGAAGAAGAAGAAGAAGAAGAAGAAGAAGAAGAAGAAGAAGAAGAAGAAGAAGAAGAAGAAGAAGAAGAAGAAGAAGAAGAAGGAAAAGAAGAACAAGAGCAAGAACAAGAGCAAGAACAAGAGCAAGAACAAGAGCAAGAACAAGATCAAGAACAAGAACAAGAACAAGAAGAACAAGACAATTTTTTAAATTTAGTTTCAAGTAAATTTCGCATCTTGTAATCAATGTTCAAAAAGCATTTGGTCGATTTGAAAGCGCTCTGGGAAACAATAGTGGTTCTTTGGTGCTGTCGCACTACAGAGACTTGTTCCGTCATCTTTGTCTATCACGTCGCTTGTATGTAAATCGCTTCTGTCACAATGTGAAACTTATCTAAGCGAGTCCTTTCCGAACACCGCCCGCCTGGCGGTGACGTCAGCCGGCCTGGCGGTGACGTCAGCCGGCCTGGCGGTGACGTCAGCCTACCCTGCGAATTCAACTTTTGTCCAGAGGACTTTTAAAGAGACGGCTTCTATTTGCCAATTGGTCTCTCTGTTACTTACAAAGGGAGGCCACGTCTGCAGTACAAATACATATTATTTTACATAATTTCATCAGTTACATTTATTCAACCTGTCTCTTATTACTGCTCGTACATCTATTTTTAGCATAATTATTTTTATGGAATTTTAAGACTTACATGGTTCTGTTTTGTGTTCTCTTCGTTGCCTACATCCCGGAGTTACCTTACTTGGCCAGGACCCTGGGCCGACAATCCTGTTTTCCGCCCAGTTGAAATATAATGCAAATACAAACACACGCGCGCGTGCTCCTAAAAATGTACCGGTTAATAATAAATGAAATGTCTGTCTGTCTGTCTGTCTGTCTGTCTGTCTGTCTGTCTGTCTGTCTGTCTGTCTGTCTGTCTGTCTGTCTGTCTGTTTGTCTGTCTGTTGTAGGGGGGGGGGAGTTTTGAAAGGGGGGGGGGGGTATCAATTGGAATTACAGCCGGTCAGTTCAACAAACCAAGAGCCGCCCGAGGTTGGGACAATGCTTAATCGCGGAGAAGAGTGATGACCTTAGTTCGAATCCCCGATGGGATGTTTTGATCTTGAGTTGTTTTCGGGAGTTTTTGAGGTTTTCCATCCATAAGGTTGGGTCCTATGGGCGTCAAATTCGGAGGTCCTGCCAAGATAACCTTTAATTGTTGATAGGAGCGTTAAAGCTATACAATGACCAACAATGACATCTTATGAAATATCCAGTCATTCTATTACATAATTTACCTTTGTATTTTGACCCCAAATTCTACTTCACGTTTGTTCCACAGGGATCAGTTCTGGAGGGGGATATCGCAGTGGCTCTGCCCTTGATCGTCTTCGGAGGTCTATGCGTGACTGCTGGCCTGTTGGATTTGTTACTGCCAGAAACACTGAACAGGAAGCTCCCAGACACCGTCGAGGACGCCAAGAATTTCGGCAGGTCAGTGGAGTTGAAAATAAGTAAACACTTCAGCAGCGTACGGCTCCAATATTCTCTGAATAGGTAATTCCATATTGGTCAAAGCTGTTTAGTAACGGAATTTTATTCTTTTAAGATTGAAGCCTCTTTGGGAACTATGTTTTTGCTTCCACATTTCCAAGACCATTTTTATTCAGAGTACATTAGTGCTAGCTTAATTTGTTCCTTTTTCCATAGGAAGTGCAAGCTTTGTAGTGTAATTTTCAAGTAAGAAACTAAAGAAGTACGTGATAATAATATATTGAAAGTTTTTATATTCTTGGTCATGTTCGCAGCGTGATATGCTATATAAATGCCTCGACAAAAATTGCTGTTGACGCACAAGTGTTAAATGGCCAGTTAAAATGGTTGCCCATCGGGAAGAAACAAATAGTAGATCTAAATCTTTTTCTCTTTATAAATATGGCATTTAGTGTCACAGCATTCCACTCAGTTGTGAGTATGATGCGTATGCATATCTAATTCACTTTGCAGTGATGAGAGTTACCGAAATAGATATTTACATGATAACAATAATTTTTAAAATCGGAATATCGCAGCATAAGAATAAAAGTCTAAATTATACCCATTGCATCTCAATAATTCAGAACATTGACAGTTAAATCATATAGGGCTCCCAGAATACTTAATTTAGAGCCAAAACAAAAATGTTCACTTCAGCTGTACCTAGTGTCCCTTAATCAAACTAGAATTGAATGTGCATGTTATATCATTACTTCTCCACATCCATTTTATTTCCACTTGCTTTTTTTTCAGAAAATCTTCAAAGAACGTGTATGAGCTCGAACAGATTGGAGCTTCAGGGAAAAAGGAAAAAATGAGTAATGGCCATATAAACCCTACGTTCACTGACATAGATCTTAATGAGTGAACTTGCTCTGGGATAACAATCAAACACTTATCTCTATGGTTACTTTCACTTTAGTTTTAATAAGGCGCCCTCCATTCTGCGGTTTGGGTGGACTAGTGGTTAGGCTGTAAAGCACGCACCTGAAATGTCGTGGGCTTGAATCTCATCACGGGTCCGACGTAGTGACTTTACATGGATTTTCCTCACTTCACCCAGCTATAGACACCGAAAGATTTCGCCAGTTTTTTAGCCTTTTGAAGCTTAATCAGCTGCTTGCACTGGATGCTTTCTGGGACGCCAAGAATGTAGTTGGGTGTTCTAGGGTTTGCTAGGATAATACTTGTAATATAATACCTTGTAAACCGCGTAGAGCAGGCACGGGCAAGCGTGTCCAAGTCGCGCCGAATTAAGCTATTCCAAATATTATTATCTCGCAGGTCAAAGCAAGAGAAAATTGGGTTAGAGGGAAGTAGAAGAAGTAGAACGTACTGGAAGCACCCTCCATTGTGTATTGTGAACAAAAATGGTTAACCTAATGCATACAGTCACCTTCGATAATTATGTATTGATGCTACATGCAGAACGGTATTTCCTTACTGAATAGTGCTGCCAAAAACGGAACCTTTTGTCCTGTTCACATAATTTTAGCATTCAATTTGTCTGAAGAGAACTCAGACTAAACTATTTAATTTACTTGTACTATAACAAGATCTCCTTTTTTCAAATTTTCAAAAAATGAAAGAACCTCACAAACCATTGCTACTGTGTAAAATCAACTTGAACGGCACAAGCCAGACATGTACCTAGAGTTCTTCATCTTGGCGTTTTTATACTCCGTTGGTTAACATTTCCAGATTATAACTGGCAGGTCTGGTAAGTTGGGTTTGTTTGGTTTTTTGTTTTTTAGAAAATAAAATGATCATTGGTTCTGAGTTAAACAAAAAAAGGTAAAAGTTCAAATTCGATCAGAATCCCTATAATGTTGAGACGGTGGCTAAAACATTAAATATCTTCAATATGCTCCCAGTTTTCTCTCGTATCATATATTTTTGCCCTCGGTCTGTCAAGGTCATTTGTTGTCTCCCTCGTCAGCATCTGACACCTACATGTACAAAAGCAGACTAACACAATGTTAAAACGTTCTATTCGTAAAGTGTTAAAATATCTTCTATTGTTGTTGTTTTGTTTCGTTGTTTGTTTGGAGTTGGAGTTGTTGTTATTGTTTTTTTGCAGCAGCTTCTTTGTTAAAAGTTTCCTTCTTTCATCTTTTTATAGCCAATTGAACTTTTTTTAAACGTTATGTCGTGTTTATGGATATGTCTTTGTCAATAAATAACTTTTTGATACAAAACGAGTATTTGTTTTGATAATCAATTGTGCTTACTGCACATAATTACATTCCAGTTTATTCTTCTTACCTCTGTTTTCCACCAATGGTACAACATTCGTTTCATACTGCAAAAGTCACCCTCAACATCCCACAGGCATTTTCGTAGATGTCACCATTGATGCTGTCCAAAAGTGTTTGCTTCATCCTTAAATGACAACGGTTAAAGGATCAGTTCTACAAATGTTGGCTCGTGCTTTTTGTACACAAGATTCTTTCCTCCTTAAAAGTAGTATTATACATACACTTGTTTAAACATCGTCACCGGCATTTTAGAACGTTATAACACAAATTCCAGAATGAAGGAGTGAACCTTCGTATGGTGTACAATCTTTGGTTCCAGTGCTGGATGCAAGGAGTAGTCAACAGCGGATCCTGACACACCCAAGCAACTTATGTTTACGTCATGTTTTGTTTTCTTATTATAATCATCAGGATAATAAAGATTTTTCAAGAAGGTGTTTTACGTCCCCATCGACACAATTTAGACTGTCAGAGAAAAGGCGCCCTGAGAGGGATACGACTCGATAAAAATGTTCTCCCAACACGGTAATCGAACTGGAGTCACCAACATGCGATGCCGGTAAAGCATATAGATTTTCTACTCTCTTCGAAGCTGGTGTAGTTTAGATTCCTGCTGAGGCGCCCGTTGGTTCAGGAAAGCTGCTCTTCGGCTAGCAAGTGATTGTTAATGATCACAATATTGCTTAACGCGCCCATCGAAACGAAAAAAAGGAAAATAATAAGGAACGTCCTTCGACCCTACCTGTCAGCAACAACTTGGGCTAAGAGGATAATACATCACCCCAGTAAGAAGACAAAACTTTTGAGTAAAATGAACTTTCCGACACCGAAATAGAACCCCCGTCTTTTTGCGTTAAGATCGAAGACCCAAACAATTACACAACTTACGATCGTTTAAAAATTAGCAAAGGTTTCATACTGTGTGTAGCGTGCACATTGTAAGTCAAAATACAATTTGACACTTTTGATGCGAGACGACCTTGAGCTCGATCCTTTGCTAGAATGGTTATTAAATCTGAGTAATAAGTTAAAAAGCATGCACTACAAAAACATCAAAAACGAAAAGAAAGGAATAACGAATATGGACTTTTTTTCTTTTTTTCTTCTTTTTTTTTTTGGGGGGGGGGGGGTAATGATGCCATCCCCAAACCACACACACATAAACATACCTATGCACTGACATTAAACATTATTATTGACAATTACTATTCATTCATATAAATTGTTAAAATTTTCTTTCATATCCTTTCCTGTTCTTTAACTATAATCTAGCGTCTCCTTTCATCTCCACTTTGGTCCCCGCCTTGCTCCCCCCTCTGGGCTCCTGACTCTTTCTGCAGTCTTTCTACTGCTACTCCTTGGCTCCTTCTTACAGTTGTCTTTCAGCTACACCTTTGATCTTAGGGTAGGTAAGATCTAATACCTAGCCTTCTCGGATAAGGGCGAGAGATCTGGGAGGTCCGGTGTGCAAGTTGCACACATTAAAGATCCCTTGGTGGTCTAAATCGATGAGAGTAGACTTCGACCGCCACCCGGGCAAAATTCAAAATTAATGCCAACCAAAACTAAAAATATTCAGTATGACCTGCGCGCTTATATTACAATATGCAGTTGTGAGCGCGGTAAAACACCTACTAAAACGAGGAATGTGTATGTAAGAGTTTGGCGTATGAATATGTGTGAGAGTGGGGGTGGGGCGTGGGTGGGTGGGTGTTTGTGTACATGGTGAAACGTCAAACCAATACGCCAGCGTCTGGACAGTGATTATTCATTTTCTCTTTCCTTCTCCTCCTCCTCTTCCTCCTTCTTCTTCTTCTTCTTCTAATAATGATGATAATGATAATGGTCCTCTTTTTCCCTTACTCTTTGAAGCACTTTTTTAAAAATTCAAAATCATTATATTATTTGAATTTCGATAGCTCTTTTAAGAACCTTTTATCAACAGTGTTATATCATTATTATTTTTGTTCTTTTTTCTAGTGTTTGTTCTTCTTCTAGACGTATGTTGTGTAGCGGTTAAGCACTTTGCTGTCTCACGCAGGCGACAGGAGTTTGATATCAGAATTGGGAGAACATATTTTTTTATCAAGTATCACGGTCTTTCTTGTTCTTTAATGTTGCTGTATCTCTCTCATTCCGGGTTGGTCCTTCCATAAAGGGCCGGAAGCTCGCTTCTTAACCGATCTAAATCTGATTTCAAAAGTTTGTTTTATTCGTTTTATTATCTGAATACGGTATGTAATGACATGTAAGGTGTTTTGGTGAAATCAGGCGCTCCTCAAAATAATGAAATTGAATATGCCGACATGTTTATGCTGATTTGGCAATTTTTATTACATTTTTATTTGTTTGTTTTTGTACCTTTTTTGGCTCAACTTCTTTTATATTCATTTAAAAACATATTCTGTGTGGTTGTACTACTTTTTTAAAAACGTTGAATAACGGAATAATAATGGTAAATTTACTGTTTCCAAGGACTCTCAAGCTATAAGAAGTCACAAAACTTTGGCGGCCATTTTCTCGCTAATTTTACCTCAGAAACAGGCGATCCCAACTCCTTCAATTGCAAAGTCTCAACTTCTATACTTTAGTTTAAGATACCCGGGTAATTTTTTCATTATTACTTTGAATGTTCTTGATAAATATAATTATTACCAAGTGCACAATGCCCAGTAGTAAAAAGTTAGGTATTCTGCTATTTATGGGCGGGTGAATGCCTCTGCTATTTCTGTTTACCTGTCTCACTTGTACGACCGTTAGTGTATTGATGTACTTCTCTTTACTCAAAAACTGTGCTCTATGGCTCTGTTGTGCTCTATGGCTCTGTTGTGCTCTATGGCTCTGTTGTGCTCTATGGCTCTGTTGTGCTCTATGGCTCTGTTGTGCTCTATGGCTCTATTGTGCTCTATGGCTCTGTTGAAATAGCCCACAGTCCGAAGATTTTGCCTACCTTCGTTCTAGATACTGCTAATACCTCACTGAAGAAAAGTCATGCTTAGATCTTACAAGCAAACACTTTGTAAGATCTGGTAATATTATGCACGAAACTAGTTACATAATGTGCAGCTACAAAGGAAATGGATAGAATGAATGAAAGTGTTTGTACTTCACGGGTCTGACTCAAATAACAGGCTGAGCTCGTGTCCATTGGGAGAGAAACCAACCGACTTGATTCCGTCCGTCTCCCGGAAAGTCGGTAGTTGAAATGGAGCACCGTCTTTTTCCTAAGAAATAAGTGAAAATTTCGTTTGACTGTGTCAACAGACTCGACACGACACGTCCCGACAAAAGACTTGTCCTTTGGAAAGCCGCTTGCTGCATTTTAAATGGGCCGGGGGGTGACTCATCAGCCATAGGCAGAGCTGGAGCTTTAAAAAAAAATTCTAATTTTTAATTAAAAATCTTGTTATATTCGTAATCAGCTCCTCAAAATTAGTAAAGTCTACGCGCAATCCACCTGGCTTGAATGTATATTAATAATTTTACCAGTTTTCCTTTAAAACGAATACATTTCTTATTCCAGCCCTTGGTTCATTGACCTCTTGACTATTTATCGCCCCGTACCGAGGACACAACCCGCCACGACAGTGGTCTAGCATACACATCCGGG